AGCGGCGCAGCTCAAGAGGCTCCTGTTCCTCCGCCGCCGCCGCCGCCGCTGCTGCTGCGGCGGCGGCGTCGGCGTCGGCAGGGGCGACGGCGGCCTCGCCATTGCCACCGCCGCCCTCGCCCTCGCCGCCGCCGTTGTCCGACAGCTGCTGCTGTGCCACCGCAGCCTCGGTGGGCGGCGTGGCCGCGGGCGGGTCCTGGATGCGTTTCGCCCACACCTTGACCGTCCAGGCGACGGAGGGCTGCGCCGGGGGCGCGCCGGCGACCTGCGGCGCCGGCGCCGGCTCGAGCGACGAGCCGACAAAGAGACGGACCAAACGCGTGCGCGGCGTGGGCGAGTGCACCCCAGTGGCGCCGCCTGCGAACCGGAGCTCGTGCTCGAACGCGGCGGCCCTGGCGGTGAGCTCCGAGGCCAGCCGCGACTCAGCGCGCAGCAGCTCGTGGTAGCAGCCCGCGGCATTCGCTCCCACCTGCGACGCCACCAGCGCCGAGAGGCTGCGACACTGCGGCGACGCAGCCCGCGGCCCGGCCGCCGCGGGAGGCCGGGCCGGCGGCGCAGCGGCGACGCTCGCACTACGGCGCTTGGCGCCGACCAGGCGCTCCCGGAGCTGGGCCTCGTCAGTAGACATGGCGCCTGGGAAGCGGCGCTCGTTGCGCTCAAAACGAGAAACCACGCGCCTGCGGTGAGAGAGAGAGAGAGAGATTTTTAGCCATACCAAACAACTCTAACACTCACACGTAATTTGGGGCCTGGAGCCCTGTTCACGCGCGCGCGAGACGTGCAGACAGGGTTGCCAGGTGAGAGCGAATGGCGCGGTTCACGCCTCGCACAATGGCCGCGAAAGCACGGCTGGCATCCGTGGCGTGGGGCTCGCCTTCGAAAAGTCGGGCATGGCTCTCCCCGCAACTCTATCGCTAACACGCGCGCACCACCGAGACTGTGGTGAGCGCGCTGCGGTCGCACGTCTACCTCCGTCATAGTGCCACGACGTGCGGCCTAGAATTAGGACACGCGCCTCTGCTTGCATACACTCATACATTGGGTTGTCATCGCCTGTGAGTGCGAGAAGGGCTAGCCGCAGGCAGCTAGCCTCTGAGGAGGGCGTCCATAGACACCTCACTAGACCCCACACACGGTCTCGTCCGTGCCTCGCCGGCCGGAGAGATTGCTGGAGGTAGAGCAAGCCCGCTCTAGCCTCGCATATCACTTCCTGTCGTCTGTTGTTTGTTGCGCCCTTGTTTGTACTCTTGGCACCGTGGAGTGCTGGGGGGGGCGACAGGGAGGATATGGCCTTGAGTTATGTGTACGCCGACTCAGGGTGTGTGGCAGCCCGCTGGCTGTGTGTCTTGTGAGCTTGTTTGTGTCTGTGTGTCGCTCGTGCGTGTCGTCATCATCTGTCCAGCGTCCACCCATACCGCGTTGGTGTCCAGTCCGAGCCTGGCTGTTCTTCACCTTTCTACCTACCTACTCGCACGTCGCGTCCACCCATCCGGGCCAAAAAAGAAAAATCTTTGCTACAGCGCGGGCCGCCGCTCGCCAAGCCCCTCAGATGAGTGGTCAGATGGATAGATCTAGTGCCCGAGAGCGAGGGGTCCGGGGTGGAGCACAAACATAGGACGCCCAGCCTTGCCCTCGCGCCGCCGAGTGGGAGTGCGTATCTTATGCGAGAGAGATCCCCTGTACGTGCCCTGTCCCCTATCCCAGCCCTCTCTCCGCGCGGCGATGCGCCCTCCCCGCCTCGCTTTTGCAAAATCCTGCAAAGGTGGGGACGTGTCTGTCCTCGACCCAGCCCTAGCTTGGGATGTCCGTTTTATTCCGCCTGCGTTTGGGTTTGTATGTTTGCGATTTGGAATTTGGCATTTGTCTAGTTCTTTGTTTATTTATTTACTTATGCAGTGTGAAGGGGAACCTGGTACGCGGGTCCAACCCTCGGAGAGTGTTCTTTAGCTCCGAGTAGAGGGCTGAGGCGGGGCGTTCTGCTGCTAGAGGGGGACCCAAAGCGCGAGGGAAAATTCCGCCGCTTAGGGAAACCCGGAGCGCGGAGCTAACCCTCAGAGACCCGTGTTATGGCCCTGCGACCGCGCACCCCCCAGGGCTAGGGCTCTCTTGCCCGCAACCCGATGCCAATCGTCCGGCCTTTATGGGTGCGCTTCTTAGCTCCCCGGCCCTGGGCGTGCGTGGGAGAAAGGGAGAGGGGTTTGTGTGTGTGTCTCTCTCCCGATGTAGAGAGCGATGTAGAGCGATGTTGAGCGCGATTTACTTAGTGATTTCACTGTGAATTCGCACTCTACATCGCTCTAACATCGGACGGAGGCAGTCCGTCCCGCGCCGGATGGCCGGATGTAGAGCTCAAGTCTCTACAGCTCTGCAGCGCTCCAGAGCGCTCTACATCTCTACATCGCTCTACAGCGCTCTACACTCTACATCCTCTACACGCCTCCCTCAGATTCTCGTTTGGAGAGAGAGAGAGAGATTGGCGGCGCGATGCTGCCGCCCTGGCTGGCTTTCGACCCGTGCCGAGACACATTTTGCAACCCGTTCGATTCCTGGCTCACAAATAAAGG